GGCTTACGACAGAAATACTTTAACCTGTAAGATTTCATGTGAATAGAACTGCAAGAAATATTTGCAAAATGCAAATATCTCATGATATCTATATAGGTTTGTCTTTTTCTATAAAGATGAGAAAATAAAATTCATTTTCAGTTATAGGAAAATCTGCTACTGTATATCACATCGCAATATCAGTCCACGTGATTTAGGGGCTATATATCATTTATCTGTTTAGTCTTCTTTTTGTCCATGTAAATGCATGTATTATGAAGCAGAGAGAGTGAAAGAATATACTGAACTGTGGTGCTCACATTTTCATACTTCTTTGCTTCCTTCACCTAACGTAACCCTAACTCAGCCCATAGTGTAGGGGGGGGTTTTTTTGTTTGTTTTTACAAAAAGGTTTGAGTTCTCCGGCACTGAACAATTCATCGCAGTATGTGTGCAGTATTTGTGTCTCATATCTTATTCATCCACCCTTGAGTAAAAGCGCAAACACCACAAATCTCCACTTCCCATTGTAATAACTTTCCTGAAATCATCCAAAATCTCCTCCTTTCTTTGCATAGCAAGTTTAGCTGTGTTTCCTCGCCACTTCCTCTCATTCACCTGATTCCTGGAGGGTTTTTAGAGGCTTTAGAACAAATAGTAGTCTTTTAGCCACATAGCTGGAAATAATATAGCAAATGCTCAGAGTCTGAGCAGAGTCGGAGCTGGTAAGACCGGCCCTGCAGAGACTGCCAACAATCTAATATTAGCTGAGCACATGGCTGACTTCAAAATCAGTCACTAAGCAGGCTAAACTTAGTTCATTGCTTCCCAAGCCTCTTTCCAAGTTCTTTTGCTCTACCACTGACCTCTGCTGGGTACTGCGGTGTCTGGGGAGAAGTTGGACTGCCTTCTGCAGTGATGAGTGAATGACTCTGTGAGGAATTTGCAGAATAGGAGGAAAATAAATCTGACCCTAAAAGGAAAGTGTGAGTACTATGGGATTGGGGAGTTGGGATTCAGAACAAAATGTTCTTTCACTCGTACACCACACTGAAAATCATTTGTAACATCTGATGGATTTCAGAGCAATGACTTCTTTCTTTTCACAAAAACCTAATGATAACACTGTGTGTGCTATGCTGCCCTCATCTGGCACAACCGAAAAATCATTCTTGTGTATCTAAAAGGATAAAGGAAAATAACACAAAAACACACACACACACACACACACACACACATATACACACACACACACCGCGGCCCCTGCCCTGTTGTGCCAAACAGACTTCCCTTTCCTATCAACTTCATTTCTGTTTTGGCTTCACAAGCTATAAATCTTTGCCCCCAAGCATGTCCTTTTTTTTTTTTTTTCTTCCTCTTCCTGTGTTTCATATCAGCAAGCAGTCAAGACCCACCTCAGGCTCTTGTGTCTAAACATAGCACCTTTTGAGTAATGGGTCAGGTTAGTGCGATTGCTATAGGTCTGATCTGATGCTTCACAGCCGTGGAGGCAGCATCTAATAAGGAATTGGCTCGGGCATTTGATGGGATTAAGTGGGATTATGTTGTTGGAGGTGTTTCAGCTTCAGATGGCTGCTGTCAACAGCATATAGTATCTCTGTTGGTTAACTCTTCAGACACATCAGCAGCTATGGTTCTCAAACTCAAAGTGCTTTTGACTGAGAGTCCAATTTGATGGGTCGCTACGGTGACTGACATGATGTGACGGCACAATCATTTTGCTTGGACACAGAATTTGATGATAAATTGTTCCACTCTCGTGAGGCGGAGACAAGTTGTATGCAAACAACATGCTCCTTGTTATATGTGTGTAGATATATTTGGAGGCGACGCAGACGGCAGCTGTAACCTACAGGGAGGGTTAATGTTATGGCTATTTTAAACATGGGCTGTCTGAATATCATGTTCAGCTACACCACATAAACTAGCCTCACATCCAAGCACTGCACCTCCCGGTTTGACCAGGAGGGGGCAGTCTACATCGCTCTAACAGAGAGGGTCTGTTGCGTAACCCAGGCTACAGTCACACGCACAAAGTCACCAATTGGCCCTGCTCAAATTCAATATGAGGGTTAATCTGTTTACATGCACCTTTGATGCCACGTGGTTGAGTCCCTGATGCCACCAATAAACCTATTTACACGATATTTCTGTTCACATGTGGGATTCAGGCCTCAAAACAAAAAGGTTGTGGTCACCGTTTAAACTGTTTGGTTAAACCGATGTGAAACTAGTAAAGATAACCAGGTTTCTTACAGGCCTAACTTTGTTTTTCTTATTCCTCGCCATATAAACATGCATCAGTTGTTTGCTCCAAAATTTACATCATCTTTGTGGGTGTACAATGAGTAGTGTTTGTGCATCGGTCGTGTCTTGTGTTTGAGCATGTCTGTGTGTCATCCCTGTCATGGGAATAATTACCACAGAGGCCCCCTGGCTTACAGCAACAGCAGGGTTTGATTGTTGTCCCAGCAAATGGATTTCCATGGGAAAACAGACCCGAGACGTCGTCTCCCATCACACAGACACACTGAAATTACTCAGGCAGGGGGTCCTTAGCCGCACAGCAGATTTGGGAGCCATAGCTTCTAGGATGCAGTCACAGCACTTATTTGGACGGTTAGAGAGGTTTGCTCTGACACAACAGACGGGCAGCAGAGAGCTGTGGATGGACAGATTCTGAGAGAGCAGAGAGTGGAGACAAGTGAGAGACAGGAGAGAGACGACTAACTCAACAGACTGCAAGGGGAGCAAGGTTGGCGGCTGTCCGTTTCTTTTTCTTAATCCTTAAATCTTCTGTAATCGGGATGAGAGGGAGAGAGCATGTTGCCTGACTTAGGACAGCAGATTCTATGTTGGGACCTAGATGGATTGCTGGCTGATGAGGCAACCTAACTGGCCAGTGGGAGAGATGGAGGGAGGGGGGAGGCCAGAGCTGGAGTCAGTCTGGGAAACTTAAACTTAACCAGTTTCTACCAAGAGCCAACAGGAAGAGTGGAAGTCCAACACATGGGGATGGTCTAACCACCGAGAGCAAGTTCAAAAAGAGAGAGAGAAAAAAGAGAAGAGGACGAACAACCTATGGATTGTTTTAGGGTGAGACTCTGACTATTACTATTTGTTCTAAGGTATTTTTGCTTCAGCACAAATGGTTGCATTTTTTTTTTATTTCACATCTTCACGCTGTTCACACAGTTTAGGGAGGCAACAGAGCCAGCTCATATTTAGGATTCTGAGGTTGACTGTATTGCAGACTGCTGCTCAGCAGGAAGTGTAGTCCACAAAGTATGAGGTTTCTATGTTTGTGCAGAGGGCAGAAGAGAGGGGAAAAGGTTTGTGTGATCGTAATCTTCATTTTTCTGCATGACACGGTGCAGAAACAGAAACACACGTTCGTGAGATTAAAGGAGTTGAGCGGTTCTATCTGGCATTTAACAGGAGAGCTTATCTAAACGACGCTATTACTCACTTACTAATAACTGAGCATTAAAACATAATTATCACCAGGTGCAAATAATTCTGTGAAAACAGTTATCTGTGTGAATTTGTGTCTAGTGTGGATACGGTTTAAATGATGTACGTGGGGCCAAGGCAGCTTGAGAAAATGAAACTCTCAATCCGGAATCTGGAAAGGCCTGACTGTGTTTTCCACTCCTAATTCATCACTGATGCACAGACACATATTAAAGCAATCAAGTTCTTTCTCACTGTCATCCGCAGCTCCGACAAAAACATTAACAATAACAAAGTCTGTCCCATCCTAACCCTGAGCTGGTTTCGAAATATACTCCACACAAACAATGTGTTTTTTTATGTACACTTTGTTGACTCGAACATAGGAAAAACACAAATTGTAAACGACTGGATACCCCAGTGGGCCAGAACTGCGGGGCAGTGTGACACGGTTAAGACACCATGACAGATGCTGTCACTAGCCTGGCCTCCCATTGCTTCAGGCACCATATGGCCTTTCTCAACCCAGTACACTCCTCCTATTATGCTTTCATCCACATTACTTTCACAGACTGAGCTTCTGCAGACCTTTAGTGTTTATTGATCACCCCTGTACCTGTTATTTATATGTAAATATGCCCACATGTCTGGCACCTTCTTTTTTTAAATACATTTAGCTAGTTAGCTGTTTGTTATTCAGTTATCTTAAATATACATCATTTGTTCACTTTGTAATAATAACCTACAGTCCATAATGGGCTGAGCCAGTGAACATACACTGAAAAAATAAGCATGTTATACAGGCAGCTTAACTATCTTGTAAATCACAGACTTACAGATCAGCTGCTCTGACAGGAGGGCTGAAGTGAGGTGAAGCTCCTCATCCTCTTTGAGTATCACGCCTAATGGAGAAGGCCTTTTCAGGTCACCAGATCTATTTAACTTTAAAGGCTGCCGGTGTTTTGCTGTTAGACTTGCAGTCACACATGAACGAGTGTTTTGAAGAAAAGAAATCACCAGACGGCACTAATCAAAAATGCAGTTGTACACGCAATCCCCAGCACCTTTCACATTAGGGTGAAGACATATTATTGAAAATGGATCAGCAGCATGTGGCCACTGAGCACAATATTTGTTAAGGCTACTCTCCCAACACCGCTGCACTCAAGAAAAAGCCATTACAGTTATCTAAACTGAAAATAAGGTCTCCATGCTGTGTGGTGGTGCCGGTAATGCAGGGTTTGCCTCTTCTTATGTCTGCTGAAAGACACACGACATTGAATCGTTTAATGGTGTTATGTTCATGTGTTCAAACATTGTATGTTTCTGTTTGTGAAAGGCATGCCCCCCACCCCCCAACCCCCAACGCCCACCCCAACCGCCCACCCCCGGCTGCTCAGTATGAGCTCAGAGGTAGTGCATGGCTGTTACATGGCTGAGAGGAGAAAATGTGGGAGAAAAAAAATCAAGAAAATGAAAATGTGTTCATTTTGTGTCCACAGTAACACTTAATATTTTTCTATTCAAGATGTGGATTGTTGCACAGCAGACCTGAAACCCAGGTGTGATCCCAGGCACAGGGGGGGGCCGGTCCAATGGCCACCGCAAGTGATGACCCCCACCTGGGCGCAGGCCCATCCGAGGACTCAGAGATCCTCCAGGATGATTCTGACTCAGGGAGTGTGCTCTCTGATGACTCTGTGCTTCCTGACTATGAAAAGGATGATAATGATAAAGATCCAGCTAAAACACTGTACGAGGCCTGTGCCAAGAATGAGCCCGCATCCCTGCGCAGGATCCTGGAGAGAGGAGTCACCAAAGAAGAGGCCATGGAGCTGGACATCAATGGCAAGGTGAGAAGGGATTCATTTCCCTTTTTCATCATATTATATATTTTTACACATATATTTATAAGGAAAGTGACTATGACACAACATACAAAAATCTGTATTTCTGCAAAAAGAAAAACTATATATACAGGTAAACTTAAAGTTTATTTCCATCTTGTTCCCCATCAGAATGGACTGATGCTGGCTGTGGGTAAGGGTTTCGTAGACATTGTCACCATGCTGCATGTATGTCCATTAATAGACATCAACCACCAAGACAATGATGGCAACACTGCCGTCATGATTGCTGCCCAGGCAGGTATGTTTAAATAACATACTGTATCACACCTAAACTAAACATCTGGTCTTAATTCAATCCTACATTAACATAATGTTTTATTTTATTGTCAATCCAGGCTTCCTCACCATTCTCAACTATATCCTTAACTACTACTCTGGTGTGGACACTGAGGTCAGGGATCCCCGTGGCTTCACTGCCCTCATCAAGGCAGGCCTGCAGGGCAGAGAAGAGTGTGTGTCTGCCCTGCTAATGCATGGTAAGTTTATGATACATAAGACCTCCTGTAAACTTTGAAAATAAATTCAGATGGGAGGAACATCTTGTGTGTGTGTGTGTGCACACAAGAACAACAGATCTATTCAGAGGTAGTCATCCTGGATTCTTACACTCATGCAGATCCTCACCCAGTGAACATATGGAATGGTTTATGAGGAAACCTAATCCAAATCTATTGTGTCCAATTCACGAGCATATCTGGGAAAAGACTGCTGACGTTATATACGTGTCATATATAAAGGTAAACCGGGACATCTGATCTGTCAACTAATCTGGTTATCTTCTGGGCTGTGGGGATTAGTCTTGTATAAACTGCAACCGGACACATTTAGTGCGAAAAAATTCCACCCATGTTCGATTCTATCTATAAGTGAAATTATGTCAGAGACAGAGAGACAGATTGACAGCATTAATCCATGATGTAGTTTTATTTATGGGCAAACTTGAGCCACGTGGGGAAAGTAAATACTGGCCTGGTGTTCTTGGATTTTCAAGCCTTGATTATTCACTAAGTGGATTGTCATAGTCTTTGAAATAGACGCTGCTAACTGTGTTCCCCCAGTAATGGATTTAACTGAATTATAACAACCAAATAGCAGAAGAGCAAATCTGCAGGACTCTGGACTCAGGACTGATATAGTATATTGTTTTCATCTAACTGCAGTTTATATCTAATTTCACCATGTTGTGAAATGGCCTGGTTTGTTCCTAGCCTTGTCATGCTACACATCTGCTTCATGATTTGTGCTCCAAAAGCAGCCACATGGTGGGGTAATTTCACAGAGTTTAGGGAGCAATTGATTTCCTCAGGTCGCTCAACATATAAATGTTCACTCATTTCCCTGTTTTCACTTCTCTCATCTATTTTCTCCCCTTTTCGTGTACAGGTGCTGATATGAATGCAATGGACCTGGTCCAAGGGAGAGGCCTGAAGGATTGGGTCCTTAGGACAGGAAGTTTTGAAACTCTGAGGAGACTACGCCGCCTGCAGGCTCGTCCTATCGCTCAGCAGTTCTGTGAAAGCTATGTTCCTGAGTGGCCTGAGCTGGAGCAACTGGTGGCAAAGGCCACAGCCGACAAAACAGCCAGTCAGAAGCTGAGGCAGCGCTTAAAAGACACCCTTACTTTCAGCTTTCCTCAGGACCCCCAAGACAATGGGGTCATGGACCATATGGTGCGGATGACCACAGGCATCCACAGCCCCCTGATAGCCACTGGCTGCCGTCCACTCTGTCCCACCAGCCCCCCAGAGATTGGCAAGCGACGGTTTGCCGTTCCTGAGCTGCTTGAAAAGCACAGCAGCAAGGAGCTGGAGGAGAGCACAGTCTCCCACAGTAATGGCTCCATCACCTCAGCTTCTCCCAGTATTGTCTCAGCCACCTCCGTATCTCTGACCTCCTGCTGCCAGGACTCAGCGCGCAGGGAAAGCTTGGTGTCGGGTGGCGTAAGAAGCTTCATTCCCCGAGGCATGGCACACAGGAACAGCATATTCCCCTCAGGCTGTATCCCTAAGATTGAAGTGACAAAATCTGGGGAACCCACTCCAAAGAAAGAGAAAAAGAAGAAAAGGCAGAAGGGCTACCTGGAGCCCCCCATCTGGAAGTACAAGGAAGCCAGGGAGGAGAAAAAGAAAGAGAAGAAGCGACAGGAAAATGAAAAAGAGAATGAGAAAAAATCTAAGGGGTCAAAACGTTCTTCAAAATAAAAATGAGGTGGTATTTTCTTTTCCTCAGAGAATTTTACTGTGATTGTGTCATGCAGGAGAGATAAGCACGTGATTACTGTGACTCTGAGGCCAGTTTTAACAGAACAAAGAGGAACTGCAAAACGAGTTTGGAAGTGAGCTTGATGATGGATTTGAACTTTAGCTTGGGATGAACAGGCGAAAACTGGAGCTGCTTGAATTTGTTCGATATGATGTCATTTTCAGCATATTTGGAAAGCTGAAAATAATATTGGAAATATTTGGTGACATAACCTGGATTTTTCTTATTTCAGCTCCTAACTGGTGGTTTGGTATGAAGTCTCATGGTGTGATGTTGCGCTTATTGCAGAAACTTGCAATGTCATCATTTTATGTACACTTGTGAGGACTTTATCAGTCTGTGTATTATGAAGGATTTCCAAGTAGCGTGCCATCATGGTACTTATGCAAGATAACCAAACTAATAGCAAATACTGTATGTACTGTATGTGAGCAAAGGCCTTCAGCAAATTAATTTATGTTAGTTAATCAAGGACTGTGCGTCATGTTAACGTAATGAAAAGAGGTAAAACATCTTCAAACTGTGTGTTCCTCTACACCAAATGCTCAAAGGGATATATCTATGTTTATACTTTCTACAAGATCAAGTACTGAAGTTGTGTCAGGACCCAACTATTGAAAGGTTGTTTTTTTCCTCTCTGCAATGAGACTAATGGCACCCAATCAAACTGATAGACTGTTACCAGAATCAGCACATTAATGGAGGTATAAGTGGATTCATTGTGTAGATGTAAAAATCCGTCTTGTGCCACCGTCAGTCGATGGTAAACTCACCTCAGGAAAAAAAAACGTACATTATGATTTGCTTTGCTGATCACAATCTAAATTAATACAGAAGTCATTGATCTGGGTATAGTGTTGTCTTTGGTTCATTGCAAGATCTCTCTTTGGTTCATAGGTGTTTAACAGTTTCACCTATACACAAACTCTTTTGACCTGAAGCAGGGCAATTTCCAGTTGTAACACATTTGACTTCTGTCAAAAGCATGTTTGTTTTTTTTCATGTCTACAAAGTTGATCCAGCCTTGCTGTTATGTCACATGAAGCATCTGTGGGAAGATTTTATGCAGCAGGGTTTTGATACTTCAAAGAGTTCTGCAAATAATCAGAAAACAGGAAGTGAATTGTAGCCAGATAAGACATTTAATCAAAACTGCTCAGTTAGTAGACAAATCCTCAGTACACTTGTGTGCACAATTCCTGCAGTCCCTTAAACACCACGACCAGGGTAAAGCTAAAGTCTGTTATACCTCAAAATCATACTTCCTATGTCAAGAACAAGTCAGTTTTACAACATTTTACAAATGAAATCAGTCACCATTTTCAGTTAGCACCTTTTTTTTTTTTTGGCTTTTTAAAGCCTTTCCAGTCTTCACTACATGCAAGATGTAGCATCTACTGGATGCCTTTATTATACCTTTTTGACAGAATTGTAATCCTCCAAATTGTTTGGCTGTGGCATGTGAGTGATGATAGCCACTACAACTGCTGCTTGGAATATATTTTTTAGAAACCAATAGCAGAGCTCACATCTACTGAGTTACCTATGCACAGAAAAAAACTATTTATACATAATGTTACTCAGGAAATCTTGTGTTAATAATACGATGTGCATTACACATTAACCATCTATCGAATCAAGAAATCTATTTAAAGGTCCAGCTTACATTGGTAAATTAAAATATACTGTGTATACATCAACTTGTTAACTCATACACTTGTAACTGCGATACCTACTATAAGTACAACAAAATATATTTATCTATCTAAAAAAAAGTAATGCAGTTTAGATGCCGTTCTTATGAAACATGAGAGGATTGTTTCTGGGGTTATTTTAAAGTGAAATCTCACAAAGCTCAGGTCTTCCACATCTTTACGCAGTTTGAGACAGATGAAAAATATGTTTGTCTGCAAACATGGAATAAAATTACTGACCTTTACAAGTGAGTTTGTTTTTTTTTCCTACGTAGTAAACTCATGTCTGAAAGTGCCACAATATTGTATGTTAGTGTTTTTGTTGTGGTTACAATTTGATGATGTACAGTAACTGAAACAGAAATATCTTGCACAACTGCCCAAACATTTTATTATTTGATGAGATGAAAATTGAGTATTTTTTACACTAAAAAAATGAATATCTCATTAACTGCATGTGACTGATGAGCCTACATATCCTTACTCTTACTCTTTCACAATAAAGTTACTTTAAGCTTCTTAATGCGCTCTCTATAAAGTGGCAAGGGATGGCTTTTGAACCCCCTTCTGTAATCTTTTAATCCAATCTGCAGTATCATAACAATTAGCTTTTACTGGTGGTGACAGAAAATCTTTGATGCGTTCAAGAATATTTCATATTATTATTTCTATGAAAATCCATTTTATCCAATGTGGTTTATGCTAACGTGTAAAGTTCAGTGTGTCAGCACCCATGTACAAAACAGAGAAGCTATTTAACTCCGCCAAGGAGGTTATGTTTTTCACCAATATCTTTTAAGTTGTCAGCAAGATTACGCAAAAAGCACAGAACCAATTTGCACTGAACTCGGTGGAGGGACGAGGCGTGGGCCAGGGAAGAAACCATTAAACTTTGGGGGCAGATCTGGATCATTTACACTGAATATGAATTTCTTTTCTCTTAAGTCTGGTGTATGTCGTTTGACATTGGCCTTGGCAGAGGTGTGCACTCTCTGAATGTCCTTCTGATTTTGTTAATTTCAAACACTGAAACATTGTGACATTGTAACACTATATTTTCAGTTTTGCAGCTCACTTCCTCTTCACAGAGGGGGGAACAACAGAGGTCAGCTCTAAAATAAATACCTCTCTATAGTTCAGTGAAGGAACACATTATACTTTAACCAGGTCTGTGAGGACTCGGACTGTAAACACATATTGTACAGTTGAACAGTTGTAACATAGACTGGATCAGATTTTATCAGATTTTGACCTCTGAGGATGAGGTATCACACTGTGAAGCACAAATATAACTGACGTAAACATCACATTTTGACTTTATGTGCTGTGTGTTGTTGTCCACAGCTAAAATATGGATTATATCAAAGTGGGTGAGAAATACATCTGGTCTTCTATTTATCAAGAATTTGCTTTTGAAAAACTCACAGTATAAAAACATGTCTGTTGAAGCAATATCACATTTCTTCTACTTTAGGGGATTATTAAGCAAACAAAGGCTTTGTAGAAAAGTCTTAAGGGTACAGGGCTCTCTGAATTACAAAGATTAGGAGGAGAGAGAAATAAATGCTGATTAAAAAATGAACATGCTCTGTTTTCTACATGACAGCTGATGTGAGAGCTTCCAGCTGTGTCTGCAGCCACAAGCCAAAAACTGAGAGATTACAGAGCCTGAGAACAAGGAGGGGAATTTATATTACAGACATGAAGACATCTCTCTCAGGCTCGGCTGAATGAAGCGTTTTCACACAGCAGAGTCTCTCTGGCATCTAAGAGATAAGTCTTTATTTGCCCGTTAGACACACTTTGACTGCCATAATTGCGGGAACAGAAAGTTACTAAAGCACCATTGTGTTATCCTTGATTTGAGAGGACGCAAAGCTTTATGGTACTCACCAAATAGATTGAAAATACAGATTAGCAAAATAAGTGAGTGATAAGTGATCAATATTTTTACAATACCAAAATGACAATGTAAAAGCAAGGTGACAATGTTAAAGAGAAAGCTTGTGGTGATGAAACTGCGGAGAATAATTGCCTGAATAATGCTGCTCCTGTTCGCCTTACAGAGCTTTGTATTGAGTTTCACCTTTCACCTGGTTGTGTAGCTGTGTGATTCGCAACTTTAATATTTTGGTTCACTGTCACCACTCTCATATACTGTCTGCTGCACTGCCTACTCAGCTGACACACACAATGAGGGACTATAACTTAGTGGAGCTAAAGAGCCAGATATTTCCTTCAGGAGTTCGTAGGGACCAAAAACAAAGCAAAAAGAGTGAGTATTTGACTTGCAGTCACCAGGTGGACAAAAACATGACTCCAAAAGAGCGATAATGTGGCTCCATTAGTGCTGAATATGTAAATATGTATGTCTGTGATATCAACTTAAAAGTGTCTGATATGTCAGTGTTGTGTTCAGAATTGGGTTTCACTGCTCCCAGATCTCAGCAATTTCAGGCTTGGCTTATTAAACAGAAAATATTTGCATAGTCATAGAATCTGGAACAGCTGTTAACCTACCAGTCTAGAAGAAGACTGGTAGACCAGCTTACCCGTCTCATCACTTTCTGATACCGACTCACTGTAGCTTCCAACCTGCCCTGAGGACATAACACAAAGGACAATCACCACCCACTCCAGCAGAGAAAACTTACAAATACAACAAATACCCCCCACCCCCTTCTTTAAAAACATGTCTGAAGGGGGTATTTAAATTCATCTCTGTTGCTAAAATGCATGATAAAGCCTCCATTGACCACAGACCATATAAACCCAGATTATGGTTTAATGACAGATAATAAAAAAGGCAAGTAGCCTATTTCATGTTTTTACCCAAAGAAATGTTATTGTATCACAGAGGGGTCTTTGAAGCACATTCCTGTGAGTGCAGTGCAGACACCAGTCCACAGGGGAAAAGGAAAATGAGAGGTTTAGCAAGCAACAGGAAAACCGCTATGAGAACACATTCCAGGCAGAGCTGAGTCTGTACAGGACAATAAGGGGTGGGACAAAACTGTATACTTATTTTTTTTTTTTTTTTAAATCTGTAATCTCGACTGTGGATCAGAAACCCAGACAACAACAAAGAACTTTCTTACTTCATAGGACAGGACTTGCCCGGAGCCGTGACTTGTTCCAAACCGACGACGATGGTTCGTCCTGTCGGTTTATCAGCGCGATTTGGACCGAGATGAGATAATAGGCTACAGCTCGCTGCGTGTCATTCTGCCAGGACACAGCTGCCA